TGAGAAACAAACAGGGTTTTAGAGGGGAGGGGGGAGGGGGGATTGGTTAGCCCGGTGATGGGTATTAAGGAGGGCACGTACTGCATGGAGCACTGTGTGTTATACGAAAACAATGGATCGTGGATCACTACATCAAAAACTAATGATGTATTGTATGGTGACTAACATAACATAATAAAATTAAAAAAAAAAAAATGTGCCTACAGGAGCACCTGGGTAGCTCAGTTCAGCCAAGCGTCCTACTCTTGATTTTGGCTCGGATCGTGATCTTGGGGTTATGGGATTGAGCCCCGCATTAATCTCTGCACTCAGCGCAGTCTGCTTGTCCTTCTCCCTCTGCTTCCCCCCACCCCTGCTCACTTTCTCTCAAATAAATAAATAAAATAAAATCTTTTTAAAAATGTGCCTATAATTTGGCATGCTTTTTGAATGCTACCTCTCTTCTAGGCATGGAGATAAATCAACTATTGTCCTCAAGGAACTTCTAGGCCATTTGGAAGGGGAATTAGATAATTTTTGCATTTGGGAAAATGTGTATAAAATTCTTGAGAGCGGAGGAGAGAGCTGTAGAGATCACTGCTTAACTTAAATTCAGATATTAGTTAAGTAGTAAACATTTCTGGTGTATTTGAGGATGGATTTGGCTTGAAGTGTATTTGTTATAAACTCGTTCCATTGTAAATATGTATAAACAAGAACAGTTAACATAATTGTACAGTAAAATACCAATGTAAATAGAAATTGCTTTTATGTATTAAGATCCTAACTTTGTTTGACAGATATGCCAAGAGTTTAATAGCACCTGGGCATGGGAGATGGAGAAGAAGGGCTATCTTGAAATGAGTGTTGAATGCAAACTAGCACTCCTAAAGGTAATGAATTTATTATCTTTTACAATTATTTTAATTAATTCACCAAGAGTCGTTTCAAGAATAATGTCATCTAAAAGCTTTAATAGAAAGAATCATTGAAAATTTTCTACATAAGAAAATTTGGGAGACTAGTACACAGTGCTTTTGAGATATGATTTTTGTGTCATTGATAATATTAAACCTGTAAATTTAAGTAATACTAAAGTGTTAACTTGAAATAATATCTTTTTAAATTGCTAATTCTAAACAGGTTGTACAAAAGTGGGGAGAGGATAGTGAAAGATGGATAAACTACACACATTTTTTTTGCTCCCATCCCTGAATCAGTTCTATGGTTAAACATACCACATTTACATGATAGAGAAACATTTATGGGTTATTTTAAGCCATGTTATGACTATTTTCCAGTACCTCTGCGAGTGTCAGTTTGATGACAATCTCAAATTCAAGAACATTATCAATGAGGAGGATGCTGATACCATGCGTCTCCAACCAATTGGCCGAGACAGAGATGGCCTCATGTACTGGTACCAATTGGATCAAGATCACAATGTCAGAATGTACATAGAAGAACAGGATGATCAAGATGGCTCTTCATGGAAATGCATTGTCAGGTATCTTTTGTTGGCATCTTTTCACATTTATTTGTGTGTTTCTTTAATCTCTTCACTACAAGAATATAATCTCTGAGGCTAGGGTAGTCCTTTTTTTGTGGGGTTGGAGAATTGCCAGGATCTAGCCTAGTGCCCAGCACAATATCCATAGTGGGCACTTAATTATTTCTCAAACAAATAAATATATTTAGCATGGTGGTCCATATCAGCACATGTACCTTATACTTCAGGAAGCTGGAATCTGACAAATAGTAAGGCACCAATAATATGCACAGAAAAACCCATCATTAGACAGAAATACAAAAAAAGCATTGTTTGGTTCTTAACTAGCTACAGTTTTCTATTAGGTATTATTTATTTCTAATTGTTTTAATTTGGCCAGTTCATTTTGGCACTTTAGTATATTTTTTAATCTTTACTGTGCATATATTTCCTTATTGGGGTTCTGAAGAAATCTGAGGAATATTGTGCCCTTTTTTTTTTATTTTTTTTTAAATTTTTTATTATGTTAATCCCCATACATTACATCATTAGTTTTAGATGTAGTGTTCCATGATTCATTGTTTGTG